ATTTTTTTATTATTTTTTTTTTTTTTTTTTTTTTGCAAAGTCTCATTAAACGCAGTTCGGAGAACCAGCAACAGTCAACGCAGAAACAAAACAGTAACGGAGTCGAGTTCAGAACACTTCTGGTTTGAATTCACAGTAAGAGCAGAGAGAGACCGAGGCGTCAAGAAACGAACAAAGGGAAAGAAAGCACAAGGCTGGGATTGAATTTACAGTCGGGTAGGTCCAAAACGTTGGACCAAGGGTCTAATGCAGAGGTCCTACACACAGACACAGCCTGCAGCTCACCCGGCAGTGGAGCGGCAGCGAAGAGCTCTGGCCGCTCCTCCGTGGGGCTTTTATTGCTGGTGAAATCAGACAGCAGGCTTGCTCAGGGGTGCCGGCTGGCCCAACCTGACGTTCTCCCATGGGGGGAGCTGGGTTTTGGGGGGACACCTATTGATCTGCTGGAGAACAGACGCAGAAGACAGGCGACTAAGCAACGTGCATCGATTTAGGATGAGGAAACCCTCGCAAGCATACTGCCCGGTGCAAGGCAAAGACCAAGAGGGATTCCTCTCAGCTCACAGCGTTTAACAGGTCCGAGTGAGTGCAAACGAAGACACCTTGGAGGAGCTCCAGCCCTGGGCTGGGCTCTGCGGGGACACCGCTGTGTGGAAAGGGACTGCATAGACACATTGGCCGGTTGTGCAGCATTTTTTTTTATGCACCGGTGGTAGAACACTTTTGCACCGGTGGTGGAGCTCTGCCTGCGCACGTTTTGCTCCCTTCAGCCGCTGGAAGGGAACCCACATGCCACCCGTGGGAAAAGGGGACCTTCTCCTTGGAGAGGGCTCCTCGGACAGCCTGGCTCTTAGGAATGGCAGAGCCAGCACCGTGGTCTCCCACTGATGTCTGGCTGACACCAAACATGACTTTGTGAGCTCAGACACCCCGGGGGACCCAGTGGTTCCCACACGGGTGAGCTAATGGAGAAGACCTCCTGCAGGGACTCAGTAACAGCTGTGGGATGGGCACCAGACAGGGCTGGGCCACACCTCCTGGGGACCCAGACTGTTGGTCTGCTGGATATGGGCAGCTTTGGGCTCTCCGGACTAATGGGGACTGCCAAGCTTAAACCATTGGTGATTATTTGGAGCCAGACTGGACCTCACATCCCTTTCCAAAGGAGGAGAGCCCAGGGTTGGAGCTATGAAGGTATTCAAGGGAACATTGGCTTGCCTGCAGGTATCAGAGTTGGGAATAGTCCCATTTAAATCTCTCTAGAAAAATCTATTGCTTTGTGACAGAAAGAAAAGACTTTCTGCCTGAGAAAACAGATCTGTAAAAGGGCTGTGAAAACACAACCCTGCATGTCAGAGCTTGTCCCAGGCTCCAGACCTGATACGATCCCCTTCACGGGGAGAACCAGGGAGGAAGCTTACCCTGAAAATGCAGAAGCTCATTTCTGGCATTGCCAGCAGTTACACTGCCAGCATGGAACATCCTATTGGGAAGCCAACATCTGCAAAGAGCTGGATGTGATTCCAACCCCTTGATACACTGGGAACCAGGTGGCATGGGTGCTGTGTGCCCCTACAGACCAGGGATACTCATACACCCCTTACACCCCTGTCTTTCCAGAGGGTGGAAGGACCAGGGAAGCCCCAGAGCTGGCTGTTGTGATGTGTTGCGAAAGCGCCATGGAATGATCTCAAGTGATTGAAAGCCACGGGGATGTCCTTCAGAAAGAAACAAGATTGCTCTTGGAGGTAAAGCAGGGGCAATCTAGCTGACATGGGAATGGTGGAGAGATGAGGATCAGTAGTCTAGAAAGCTGCTCTGAGGGCAGGATCAGGACACACCACTGTCAGTGGGGCCTTTGGGCTTCAGCTCTGGCTTGTTCAGACATATCTGGGAGAGGCACTGGCTGTTCCCAGGCCAGTGGGAATGGCGATGATCTAAAGGGAGGCAGGAGAGGCTGGAGAGCTGGGACAGAGGGGTGGCAGGGCACAGGCAACATGACGAGCAGATCTTTAGCAAGGGGTCTCGATGAAAAGTAACTCTATAAAGTGGCTTTCAAGGCTTGGGCTGAAGGGCTGGGTTAAAATAATGGCAAGTTGGACCTGCTCCCATCCAGGACAAAGTGAAGGCTGTCACTGCACATCAGCAGTTTTTCATGGTCTTAGGAGTGGAGTGGAGTGGAGAAGGCTCAGCACAGCTGGGGAGCAGAGGCATAGTGAAGAGGCGTGTGCCTGATGCCCAGAGCCACCCAAGCACCCATCCCCGGGAGCACTGTGGCCAGAGGAGCATGGGTCTCCCACTGGCCCACACTCCACTTGCCAAGGCTGGGACCACGTTCAGGAGCCTTCATGGAGCTAAGGTGGGCAGAGATGCCTTCAGCACCCCAAGCAGGAGAAGCAAAAACCACAGTGCCTTCACCTTGGAAGATGGTTCCCTGGTAAGGAGGGTGCTGAGGATGCCCTGGCATGAGCTCGGGAGAGGACACCAAGGCGGCAGCCAGCAGGACCACCAGCCCTCAGGATACACGTTGTCCTGGCCAGTTCACACTGAGCCAGAACAAGCCCTTGACTGGACCCTGTAGCAATATCTGCTGCTAAACTGGAGGAGACCCGTCACCCTGAAGACCTGTGTAATTGCTTGGCATGTATCCTCTCTTCTCCCCAAGAAAAAAGGGGAATTGCATCCATCCTGCCTCCTGGGAACAGCCCCCTGGCCCGCACTCGCTCTGGGCAATGTGTGGAGCTAATTGGCATGGCCATGGAAGATACTGGTGTAACCAACTGGGGACAATCTGCTCACACAGGAACTCCTTTCTACCTTATCCTATCTAGCACAGGAAATGCCTCTCATGGACCTGCAAATGTTCCCTGTTGGAACACAGGGAAATCCAAGCCCTCTCCTGTCCCCTGACAGCTTTTATTCCCATTTTCCAGCCTCATCTTCCCCAGGAAGGACGGGAAGCAGCTCCAAGCATGCAGTCCAACGCCCTCCGGAGATCTTTGGTCATGTTGCTCATGAGCTCGCTGTCTTGAGCAAGCTATAAAGTGCCACTGTGAGGGGCAGGAGTGGGGTGAGTTGGTCCTTTCCATGGGCAGAGCTCATGGGCAGCAGGGCTCAAGGGGGTCACCTCTGAGAGCTGCTGTCTGCAAGGATTTTTTGGGGGACACAAGGATGGGCAGAGGGGACTTCAGCCTTAACCAGGGGACGGTTGCAAATCCTGGCTCAGTGTGACAGCAAGCATTGAAAGAGGACAGTGACACCAGACTGCTCTGTTGGGATCCCAAGCGGATTGCTTTCCTGGGAGGTGCTGAGCCCCCCCATTTTCACTGCAGCCAGCAAAAGCTCAGGGGGTGCCGAGCACCTTCTGTATAGCACTAAGCCCTCAAACACAGCATCAGCTGCTACTGTTCATCCCGCTCACCAATATAGAAGCCACAGAGCTTTCTTGTCTCTTCATTTAATCATTGTATGTACAGAGCTGGGCTGTTGTTTACATCCAAGTACACTTGTCTCCGTATAACGTAGCAGCATAAGAGCAACAATTCGATTCCTATTTTGAGTGTGGAATTCCGGAGGTGATCTCCCTCCGGCATGATGCCAGTGACAGCAGGAACGGTGCAGCCGGCTGCCACGAGACAGTGGCAGAAGCTAAGTGGGACTGTGTGAAGCACAACAGCGTGCAATGGTTGTGGCTTTCATCCTCAGGGTGAGACAGGAGTGCTGCCTGCGTGCAGGGAACTAGCCCAGCCGGGTCGGTATCTTACAGTGACAGCAACCAACTTCAGTATGACGGTGGAGCAAAGCAACCCCACTCACGGCAAGGGGTAAGAAGGGCTGCTTAGGCCCACCCTGGCACCAGGATAGCCTGCTTAGCCCAAATCCTCATGCCATGTGGACATGCCTGGAGCATGGCTCAGTTGCTCGCACATGGGTGAAGTGCCAGTAGAGGTGTTCCAGGTCTTCCCAACACTGGCCTGGCTCTCCCATATGTCTTGGATGATATTGGCCAGCCCCATGTATCCGGTATCCCAGAGCATCTCTAATGTCTCTGGACCCCATGTGTGGGCAACTGACCTGAGAGCCTCATGACCATAGGTTTTGGTGTTGGCCAATGGCAAACTAGAGGTGACTTCTTGTTTCAGGAGAGACACTAACTATGTGCGAGATTTTGAGGGCAGCACTTGGAGAATTACACATGAGCCAGTATGTCACACTGAATCCCATCAGCTCCAGAGATGGCTGAGCAAAGGTGGAGGAAGCAGCTGAGTCAAGCCCAAACTCTGTGTTGAGTTTCATAGGACAGAAACATTTTATCGGCCTTGCCTGAGCCTCCAAGAAACAAGATGTCAGCCTCGTTGGCCATTTCCAGGATATGTCATCAAAATGCCAGGCTGGCACCCCTTGCATATCTTAATCCAAGGCTAAGACCCCAAGGACCTCAATGCAGACCTAGCTTGTGATGGGGGATTTTATCCAGTCGGTGGGTAAAAGTGTTAAGATCTGGGAAGAGCTGGGTGAGCTCCCACCTGGGCCAGATCTGAGCACAAACAACAGGAACCCATGTGTCCCACCATCATTTAACTCCACCTCTGCTGAGCAAAGGTCAGTCACCTCCAAGAGAGACTGGTTACCACCGTGTGGCCACACAGTGCTAGCACGTGGGAGAGGATGTGATGGGGAGCAGTGCATCCAGTGCCGGACCAGTGCCTCTTTCGTGGCAGTTTGGCTGGTGCACTTGCCAAAAACATCTGTGTTTTATATCACTGTAGCATAGCAGGGTGGTTTCTGCAGGACAACTGAGTGCTCGGGGGATGCTGGGTGAACCCCAAGAGAGAGAAACCACCAGCAGCAACAGCACAGCGTCTTAATAGGTGTGTGCAAGGCTCTGTGTAATCCAAGGAATGAACACGGTCGAGGTTGCTCGTATCTGGATCAAAACTCTAGATCAAAGTGATGCAGTGAAGAAGGTGAAGGGAGCATACCTTTACTCCTCCAAGGTGAAAAATTGCTGCTCCTGGTCCATCCCAAGGAGCTCTGCAGCCCCTGCTGGATGCACTGTGAGGCCATTGACTCCCTGGGTAGTCCAGCACCCTCCAACAGTCAGACAAATTCATATGCTTCCAGGTTTCACCGGGTCCATCAGGACACACTCATTCCTGGCACCACTGCAAAAAAGATCTAGGAAAAAAAGATGATGGAGCAAACCTGGCATGCTGGAGGGCTTGGCTGACTGGATCCAGGTGTGTGGGGAATCCAGACAAGCCCCTGCTTCTCCTGCCTGTGGATTAACAAGGAGCTCTGGTGAGAAGATGTCCCACAGGGTGATGCCAGCGTCCATTCCTCTTGAGTGTTAATGCAGTGGGGAACTGTGGTGTACACCTCCTCAACAGCAGATCCTTGAAACTCAATCACTCTGGGTGTTCTTGAGCCACCAACTGAAACATTGGTTTCTGCGATGGTTGATGGGGAACCAACCTCAATGTCAGTGGCACCAGGAGGATCAAAAGTGGAAATGAGCCTCCAGGTTATTGGACCCATCTTCTAGTGAGGGCACTTGCTCTTGGGTGTGCTTTTCATGTGGTGGTCTCAGAAACACCATACAACCATCTGAGACTAAGCCTCTTTAAAGAAATTGCCCTTTTGCCTAAAGACTCCTAAGCCCTTCACAAGCACAGATGCTTCCCAGCTGCTGTGGGAAGGAAGACAGCATGGGTTATCTGATGTGGAAAGAGAGGCATAGAAAGCTGAGTTGACACAAGACACCAGATCTCCAACCCTGACACTGTGGGATGTTTGACTCCACTTTGAAGGCCCAGTGTATGCAATGGAGGAAGCTCTAGGATTTGCCTGGCCAAGAATAAGTTTGCGCAGTGCATGTGGGTGTCTTCCTTGGCATGGCAAAGTCTACTGCTAGGTGGCACCGGCAGGCAGCTGCACTCCTTCCGTGCTGGGGTGCACGGGCTGACGTCCAAGAGCTCTGGAGCATCTGCAGGATTCACAGTGGGAGGCGTGTCCACACCCTTCAGGGAATAGATCTGACCTAGTTCCCCTTTTTATGGCTGGTGCTGGGAAGGGGGCTTAGCCTGAGCTGTCCTGGTGTTTTCCAGCCTGATGGGTTGTGTCTTCCTCCAGTTCCAAAGGCACAGGCAGAAGCGGTGGGAAGAGACATGTACCATCAACTGGGATCTTGAAATGCCCCGGTCTCATCGCACATCTCCATTTTCTACAGCTCCAGGGATCGCTTCCAGCCACTGACAGTTCCTGCCCAGTAATGCTGTCTGTTGACCTTGGCTAGAGGTTGGTGGGACTAACTGAAGTCTCCTCTCTCCTGCTCAGCTTCTTTGCTCAGTCTGGAGCTCACCACAACGGTGCTTCATGCCAACTAAATGTCAGACCTGGTGATGGGGAGGGAGGAGCTTTCAGGGGAAGTAACATGGAAAATGAGTAGCTTCAGAGCTTTTGTTTGGAAGGTCTTCAGCCCCTCAACGCCCTGAGGTTCTCTCTTGGTATGCAGATGAAACGTGATCTCGCCAAACTCTCCCTGAAGTCACCTCACACAGAGATCCCAAGACGTCCTAGTGGTAATTCTGGCTTTGTTCTTCTAGCTGCTCCCCAGGGCAAACCCCCCAAATTCCCACTTGCATTGGTCCTTTGGCCACTGCCTAATCAGTGCAAACTCCACTTTGCAGCATTTTTCACTCTTTGCTGTGGGTCACGGTAAAAAAATGTCCGTGAAAGGGAGAGCCAGACCCACCTTGCCCACCTTTCAAAGCTGAATGCTGGTTTTTGATGCCTGCACCGTTATTGGTGACTGTGCATATAGGATTTGGTTATTATTCTGCCAGGGCATAAGCACTTGCGTGATCTTAAGCATTTTTCCTTCTTATGACTGTTTTCATGCTCAGAGTTAGTAGCAGAATATTTTCTTAAGCTAGGCCTGCGTTATCTCTGTCCCTGGAATATGTGATGCCACGTGGGATTGCTATGGATGCTGTTTGAAACGGCTGCACGGAAGGCTAATGCTCACCCCGTTGCAATCTAGCGGTAATGCTGATATGCGCTCACTGCAACTCCTGAGTGAGGCTCAGATGCCATTTTTAAAGTAGACCCTGGACCGAGAGAGTGCACTGAAGCATCACTCATTTGAGAATGGGATAGCACACTTGCCCACTCTTGAGGCAAACTGCTAAAGCTTCAGTTTGCATAAACATCCTGCCAGGTTTGGAGGCTTCCCCAAACCTTGATTCCATTGACTTTGGGAAGTAAGAGGGCTCTTGGGAAGGGAAACTATCTTGGATTTCCAAGGGTTTTTGTCTTGCTGTAACCAGCTTGTGTATGTGGTAAGAATAGGGGGACCAAGGCAAGGGTGGGAGGGTGTTTCTGCTCCTAGGGTTGGTCACAACCCAGGAGAGGTGTGGAACTGCAGAAAGAAACCACAACAAAATGAAAACGCAGCATATGTTAAGCTCTGCTGAGCCCCCAGAGAGGCTTCTGCTGGGCAATAATTCCTTGCTGACTTATGTTACCAGGACAGGCTTATCCTGCTCCTTAAGGATGTCCTAACCTCTTGCAACCATGGTAGCTATGGGCTGGCAAGAGGGAGTCATCTGGTAGAGATATGTCTGGTTTCACTGAAATCAGTGGCCAACCTCCCACTGACTTCACTAAGACCACTGTCTAGACAGGATACTTGATGCAGAACAGTGAGTTTGCTCATGATCCCGAGAGCTTTGCTCTGTTAGCCAATGTGGCTAAAAATGCCCTGAAAAAAAAAAACCTGCCACTTTGAACTGTTTTGCTGCGCATAAATGCTTGGAAAACCAAAGAAACCAAATATAACCCTCCAAAACAACCAACCAAAGAGGGGTGAATTGTAGGAGAGGGGATGGCAGCCTCTAGCAAAGTAACAGTCACGGCAGATTACAAAAGAGCCAATTGACCCTCACCAGCTGTACTAGGAAAAAAACCAAAAGAGATGTTGCATTATTGATAGAAAAACAACGCACATCCACAGTTATTTTACCTACAGAGCACAGAAGTATAGAGTAAGGGTGATGGAGCTTGATGCGAGTAGACTCACACCGCTCCTATGGTAGCGTATTATCCTTCGGAAGATCACTGGCTTGAGTAGGTAGTACATGCACAGCAATAAAAAAAATGACGTTGTATTGTCTTGGTCCCACCTCAGATCTCAGTGGACTCTATTCGCTCAAGTCTGGAGGGAGTCCATGGTTTTTTCTCTTCAGTGTGTGGGGGGCTGGTGGCCTTTGTGTTCATCTCATTCACCTTGTGCTCCAGGAGCTGGTTTTTCTGGTACATCTCCACATAGTTCAGTTGCAGCTGCTTCTGGTACTTGATGACTTTCTCCTTCTCTTCTTGCCATGTGCGCCGCTCCTCCTCGAAGTCCATCACCTGCTGCTCCCGCTGCTGCCGCTCCAGCTTCAGCTCCGTCTGGAGCCGCTCCACTTCCTTCCGCAGTGTGTTGACGCTGTCCTCGCTCTGCCGCTGCATCTTGGCTTCATCACTCTCACAGGCCAGCGGATCCCGCAGCTTCTCACCAAGGTCCCCACCAAAAGGTCCTGGAGGTCCCATACTGGCAAGTGTCCGCTTCAGGCCAGAGACCTCGAGCTCACAGTGGTTCAGTTTTTCCCTCAGCACCTGGACTTCACTCATCTTCCGCTGCAGCTCACTCTCACAGATCTCCAGGTTGACGCTCTTGGAGCTGTAGGAGTCCTTCAGGGTAAGGATCTGCTCCTCCTTCTCCCGTAGGAAGTTCTTACCTTCTTTGAGCTGTGTCCGCAGTCCCACGATCTCGTTCAGCTTCTGGGAGACATCAGCCTGGGAGTCCTTCAGCTGCTGCTTGAGCAGGGAGATCTCACCTGCCTTCTGGCACACCTGTGAGCAGAACATCCATGAGGCAGGAGGAAGCAGCAAGGAGCCACCACGGCTGCTTGTCCCCCACGCTGCCCATGAAACATCTCCATGGCCTCAGGTTGGCAGGAGGCTCAGGTAATGGAGGGGACAGCCAGCAACGATGCTTCAGGGCTGAGCTTCAGCCTTCACCAGGACCCAGACCGTGCCAAAGACCTAGAGGTTATCCCCACATTTTTGGGGGAGATTTGGTATTTCTTCCTGGTTCTCAGGGACCTGATGCTTTTCCCAGTTGGAGTTGACCAAACAGCAAAGCTAAGTGCTGTGGTCCTCACCAGTGGTGAGCGGACACCGATTCTTCCCTCCCTGCATTCATCTTACTCACCTAACCACAAGCCCGCGGCGCTTGACCCCAAACCCTCTGCTCTCAGCAGGAGTCTTCCCACTGACCTCAATGGGATCTGGACCTTGAACAAGCCCGAGACAGAAACATCTCAGACACAGAGACCACCCGGGCTCTCCCCGAGAGAGCAGAGATAGTATATACTACTTACTTGTCCTATGATGCTTTGATTCCCCAAAACTTTTGAAGAACCCAGTTGACTAAATTTTAGGGTTCACTTCACTGGGGACATTCCAGGGACTGGTAGCTATTTTAATTCTTTTGGGGCAGGGCATGAAGCGTGACAGCCCCTCTGGCAAAGATCAGGGAGAGAGCTGCAACCCACCCTTGCTGAAATGGGACTACCATGCACTGTCCTTGGGCACTGGAGTTTCAGGAGTTTCATCCTGATTAGCTCATGTCTCACCCGTGTGGAAGGGTACACAATTCTAGTGGAAATACCCTTGCTGCAGTGTGTATTTGCATTACGTAGGTGTCACCATTCGATATGACACTCCTCTGCACCTGTGTAGTCCCCCAAAAGTGATAGTTGCATGAATAAATGTGGATATTGAAAGCTAACCGTAAAAATGACCAAACCCTAATTTTCCTGTGAACTCCATAGTTTTCAGGGTTCTGCACTGGCAGATCTGATCTGTCTCCTGTGAATGATTGCAGAGACAAACATCCCTACCTGTGCTGGCAGGAGACTGGGCTAGGAAGAGGCACCAAGGAACCATGAGTGATCAGAAAGGACAGGCATAATTAAAAATAGATTTGGTAGCCACCTCCAGAACAGGGTGTCCCATCCTCCTGAATCTCCTGTCTCTTGTCACACATGAAATGCTTTGGCCTTTTCTCCCTCCTATGGTGCTTGCAAGGTCCCTTGCTGCTCTGCTCTAGTTAGGTCAATGCAGATGCTCCTCTTCACTGCCTTCCTTGCAACCTCCATCTTTCTCTGCTATAGAGGACTTGCCTGGTGCATAATGTTGAGCCAGACCCTGCAGCTCAGCTATTGGGACACCCCAGTGCTCAACTGTTCTCAATGGCTGAAGGGCTGGGAGATGTACCCAGTCACTTCCTACTGATAGCAGCTTTCCCTGGAGCTGACAACTGTGGTGGTTCCCCCTGCAGACCTAACTCTGTGAGTACTCACATCCCCACCGGCACTTGTCTGCAGCAGGAGCAGAGTTGTGTCACGCTGGTTTAGCTGTAGTTAGAGTGGTGTAGTTACTGCTTAGCTAAAAAACTGCACAATTTACTGAAAGTGCTCTCTGTGGGCTAGCTCTTCCCAAAAGGCAGAGAAATACATGATGAACAACAGCTTGGATAGGAATCAATTTGCAGATTAAAATACTTAAATATAGGCCTCTACTTGGGTGCCATGGAGATCTAGGAAATACAGTCCATGGAGCCTGGAGAGGAAGTCAACAAGTCAACAAGAGTAGGTACCTACAAATTTTAAGTGTCTTGATCCACATGCCGAATCCCTGTCTTTACATCAATATCACTGGCTTAGCTGTTGCAGACAGAGCTGTAGCAGTGAAGCGAATAATCAAAAGCCCATCTGCAGTTTTACTGGTGCAAAATGAGGGAACTTTCCAGACCAAACTTGTTGGAAGAAACTAAAGACCTGGGCAGAGCAGCTGGCCAAAGGAGGCATCATGTGGGACAATGCAGCCTCCGTGTTCTGGGATATAACTTGCGGGGATTTTACAGCAAGCCTCTAATAAGCTCTGCTGAACATCTGCAAATAGCACATTTCAGAGCCTGATTAATCCCAGCTTCATTGACTTTCCATCAGGATTAGCAGAATAGGGTCTTCTTGATTCTAGAGCTACATGTTGCCTCTGCACTCTTAATAAATTTAAAGTTTCTAGCCAGTCCATGAAAGGATTAAAATTCTTCACATGATCAAGCTGAAAAAAAAAATGTTAGTACTGGCTATACAAACAGACTTTGATAAAATGGTCTAAAAATAGAAACAGTAGAAAAAAAATACGTAAGGCTCAAAAGGAGAACTAGAAAGAGGAATTTGCCTTTCAGCCTTTTAAGAGAGATAAACTTATTAGCAACTGAAAACTGTGTGTTACAGTGGAAAGCATGAGGTAGACTTGGCTGTCGGTATCATTCTTGGCTCACTGGCTTTATATCTTAAATAAAAAAGAAAATCAAATATTTGAAAAGCGGTTTCAAGGTTTGCCCAAACGCAGATGTTAGAAGAATTTAATTAAAACAGACTTAAACCTCTTTTGGGGAGGCACGAATACCTGTATGGAAAGACCTGTATTCACTGAAACCGGATTCAGATGTCACACACTAGAGTCACCTGCCTGGGAAGCCAAATTATTAACCAGCACAGGAGGTGTGCACAAAACATTTTAGTCTAATTCAAAACTGCGGGCTTAGGACTCGGACAAATGAAGAAGTGACTGAAGTGTTACCTGGAGGCCACCAACCCATAGCCATTGTCTGTGGGGCCCACCGATGGCGAATGGGAGGTGTTTTTGGCTATCAGAGCCCTTAGTGCAAACCTCACTCAAGGTCAGTGACAACAAGGCTCTTACCTCCCACTTGGTCTCTTCAATCTTTGGGAGAAACTCAGCCTGTTCCTTCTTGAAAGCCACAAATTTCTTCTCCAGCTCCTCTCGCTGCTGGAGGAGTTGTCCCATATCATCTTGGAGTTTTTTTTTCTCTTGCTGGAGCTTGAAGATTTGGAGCTGCAAGGCCTGCTGAGCCCGCTGTGCTTTTTTAGAGACCTGTTGCAGTTTGTTGGCATAGTTTTGCCTCAGGTCCTCCATTTCCCTCTCCCAGATCTTCTGCTTCTCCTCGAACACTTGGAAGATGGCTGCCTCGCTTTTGTCCAAGTTCCTGCGCATCTGGAGAACCTCCTGCTCCTTCTCCCACAGCCGGTCTTCCAAGTCTTGGATGATGTCGTCTGTTGAAGGCGAGTGGAAAGGCATCGTTTCGTTGAGATGGTTCAGTCTGTTGAACGAAGAGGTGCTCTTGCTCGAAGACCGCCCGCTGTCTGAGGTAGATATCCCGTTGTATCCCACGATGTTCTTGTCCACGTAGGTTGTACCGATGCGGTTGATGTGGCTCGTGGAGGCGCTCATCGGACCCACGTGCTGGCTGTAGCCTGTCCCATAAGTGGGCAGGCTCGTTAACGAGTTACGGCCTGAATCCGAAAGGCCCCCCACTTGGTTTGTAGTCCTGTTAAGGCTGCTCTTGTCGAGTCCACTTTTGGGTGCGGACGGGCTATTGCTGTTGGCATGGTTCAAGCTCTTTCTATTCTCTGTTACTCCGTTGCTCTGCGGCGGGCAGAGGTTCTGCATGGAATGGAAGTTTTTAGGAACTACTGGTTTAAAGGCTGAGGGTCTAACTAAGGGCTCATTGCTCTGCAAAAGGAAAAAGGACCACGCATCAAACACAGCAGGAAGCTTGGTAACAGCACACAAAAGAGACACATCAGCGCACGGTGGGGTTGACGGAACTAAGATGTCTTGGGCTAGCTCCATAGTTCTCAGCCTTATTACACCTTGGACCATTTGGGATTTAACATGAGGGACCTGTGGCCTCTCACAGGGCAACACTTTCCTTTGTCTCAACTGAAAAATAAATCTTGACTCACCCCAAATCTGTGTGATTTTTCCCTAGAATACTCCTTGGGTCCTCTTAGTGCTCTTTGCAGGAAGGAGGGCTGCCCCCTGCCTACCAGACTTGATCAAAACAACTCTGATTTTGGCAGATTATATTGTGAAGGACCTCTAGCATTGAGGGTGCATTGCCCATTTTCTGAAAACTAAACTGAACCCTCGGATTAGCAGCTGATTTGCCCCTGGAGCATCACGTTTCCCTCCTGCCAGCACTCATCTCTCCCCTGTGTGGACATCATGTCCTGCTTATGGTTGGACAGGAGTAGGTAGGAGCTGTGACTCCAGCCATTGGTGGCCCAAGTGCAGCAACACTAGGCAAGGAACATGCTGAAGCTGCTCTTCATTTGAATGTTTGTGTTTTCTGTGGGCACAAGCAATGCTGTGGGGAGAATGGACCACAGCTGTAAGGGATTTAGAAAGGATTTTAAAACCTTGCACATTCCTTGCCCTGTGAATGGACCTAGAGAAACAAAATCTTCCTCCAAATGGGACTGAATCTTCCCTACTGCAGCTTGGGCTTCAGGTGAAAATTAACCCAGAGGAAGCCGCTTTGTATTATCAAAGATGTTTTGAAAATGCCTTCCAGGAGAAACAGAACGAGCCCTGGTGAGCATGCAAGGTTGGAGACCAAAACCTGGTTCCTGGCATATGGGACTGAGATGGACTACAGGGGCTGGTGGATTAACAACCCCGGAGAGAAGGCCACCAAATGCTGCAGAAATGCTACTGCACAAGGTAGCATCCCCAGGACACAAATTACAGACGTTGCTGGAGCAGAGCAGCAGGATATATAAAACACTGCTGGCTGTGGGACTCTGCTCCTCCAGGCCTGGGAGGTGTTTGCTTCCTGAAGCCAATATGAGCCACAAGAACTGGGCTTGGATGGATGATAATGCTCCCAGGGGTAGTTTTCAAGCCTTGTCAACTTGTCCCTCACAAGAAGCACTGGGATTTTGAACAGATGCTCATAGCTGCTTTCAGACACGTTTTGGTGGCAGTGGGCTGTTGGATATTGTCTATAAATGGTACAAAACATAAGAGTGGGACCAGATGCTGGAACTACTGAAACAAGAGTGGACTCAGCTCCCTCCCCATCAATCAGGGAGGTAGGCAGAGCATCTCAGGTAGGTTGGAATAGCCAGTGACTTAAATACAATCTTAATGAGCCAGAAGCTTAGCTGTGGAAGACTTGTGATCATGCTCTTGGGTTCCTCAAGAACTAACATTCCCCTTTGCTTAATCCTCTGAAAGTAATAAGAATTACATTACCTGTGCATAAAAATCATGCCATCTACACCATAAGAATTAGACTGTCAGGGCTGCACCCTTGCCCAAGGCTCCCTGGTCTGTGTTTTTAGAAATCTGCCGCAGCCATCAAGCTGCTCCAGAGGTGGGAATTCTCACCTGGTCTAGTTTGCCGGAGATTGGCAGTATCTTTGGTGGGTTACTGGGCTCTCGGTATTGGGGAGGAGGCGGCATGTTCTTCTCGTTGTTGGTGGTCACGTTCCCACAGATGTCCATCTTCACCTTCTCGCTCTTGCGCAGGTCGCCGTTGATGTAGAGGGAATTGGAGACCTTCTCCGACTTGTATGTCTTCTCCTCGCCGGAGTAGCGGTTGGAGATCTCACGCGTGGAGTACCCGTTGCGAGACCCCTCCGTCTGTCGGCCACTGCTCTGCGTCCGGGTCCCCACGCTCTTCATGGCGAACTCTTGGTCATTGGCAACTCCGCTGCCCACACTCCCCATGGTGCTCTGAGAGATGGGTTGGGAAGGCCGGGGAGCAAAACCGTGGAAGTTCTCCAGGCTGGGGTAGGTCGGGTCACTAAGAACGGGCAGTGTCTCTAGCGTGGCCATGGCAGCGCAGAGGTGAGGTGGAGGCACAAATCAGTGGCACTGGAGAAGGAGGAAAGGTAAGGGACTGTTAAAGAGATGCCTTTTATCTACCACACCCTTTGCAGGTTGGCATCATGCAGACATGAGCGAGTATCTGGGCTGGGTGATGCAAGGACAGAGGCTGTCACGTCTCAGTCTATGGTATGGAGCAGACGATGGGACAGTCCTTCCCTCTGTGACCCCCCAGCCCCCCTTGGAGGAGCAACACGCACCGGTCCCCCAAATCACTGCTATGCAAAAGAGTTTTAGTGGGCACAACATCAGTTAGATGTGACCGTTTGCGGTTCCTAAGCTTGAATTAGTTCTGTCATTTTTTCCCAGGTTTGGACAAGTTTGTGTTGCTGTGGGGTGGAAGGTTTCCAGCCCTGGCCCATCTGTAGGCTCATACATTATTGCTCCCTCCAGCACATCTCTTAGGGATGATTCAGCAGGGCTTAAGCAACACATTTTTCCATCTCTTCCTTGGGAGTGTTGTCCCGTGGACTTGAGCTTTTAAAAAGATGCTTTTGATCATGTGTCATCCTAAATTTTCTTTTAAACCTTGATTCCCCTACTCCATTTTATTCTTACCTAGGTTTGGCCAAAACTAGGCCATGGGAAGTGGATAAGATGCAGGTAATGGTTTTAAAAATGGGTGGGAACAGTCCTCACATGTCTGGATGCTCTTCCTCAGCTCCATCACCATTACAAACCCCAGTCCTGTGATTTCACCTCTGTCTTCATAGGTGCCCAGGTCTATTCTCATCTGTGTTTTGGGGAAATTCTGTAAATACTGGTGGTTGCATTGGTGCTGAATTTTTTATCATCTGAGGCAGTCAAGGTCCAGAGCTACTGGTGGTAAGACAGGTTTCATAAGGACAATTTATAACTGCTTAAAAGGCCTTTTGAAAGTCCCTTCTGAAAGTCCCAGCTGAAAATCAAGCTGGTTTTGCACTCTTGGATGCAGCAGTAAAGGATCTGGTCTGCACTGCCCCACTACCCGCCTCGAAGGTGATAAAGCCTCTGCAGTCATTCCCCAGCATAGACTGGGACTAGGGGAAGAAAAAAACAACCCATGGATTTATTTCTCTCAACAGAATTTCTTTAGTGAAAGAAACCCATGGGTTTTCCTTGATGGGTGTACCCATAAAATCCGAGTGTTGGGGAAGCTACTTCATGTTGAAGTGAGCTGGAGCAGAAGATGGAGGTCTTGCAGAGAGTGGCTGCATTCCCCACAATTCCCATTCCCTCTGCTGAGGTGATAACTCAATCCTCTGAAATGCAATCATACCCACAAAGGTGTAAATCTTATTTAAGGAAATAAAAACACCCACAACACATTTTTTTTCCATTGCCTCATTGAATAATGAAGGATTTGACTCCGTACCAGATAAGGATGTCGTTATCTGAGGGAAGGGCGAAGATACATTGCAAAATTTGGCTGATTTCAGTGAATCCTGGGGTCTCTGTATTTGGGGAAAGACTCTCACATTTCTGTTCAGTCACCTGAGTGTGCAGGCCCCCAGGGAGGATCTTTGTGTCCTCCCAGTGCCTCTCCAGAAAGGCTCAGCTCTCCCTGGAGTCCTGCCTCTTATCTGCCAGTCTGTACAGATGTCTCTGATACCTTCAGACTGGACACAGCTGAACCAAGCCTGGAGGAGCCAGGATGGTGACACGTGGACAGTTCTGGACAGTCAGCTGACCAGTGTCCACCTAGCCCTCCTGAGTGCATTGGCTTGGTCCCCATGGGCCAGGAAGGATGCTTTTTTTATACCACAGAATCATCTGGGTTGGAAAAGCCCCTGAAGCTCCTCCAGCCCAACCATGACCCTCCCCCTGACCGTTCCCAACTCCCCCAGATCCCTCAGCGCTGGCTCAGCCCGACTCTTCAACCCCTCCAGGGATCCCGGGGACTCCCCCCTGCCCTGGGCAGCCCATTCCAACGCCCAACAGCCCCTTCTGCACAGAAATCCTTCCTCAGAGCCAGCCTGACCCTGCCCTGGGCAGCTTGAGGCCATTCCCTCTTGTCCTATCGCTTGTTATTTTTGTCCCAGAAGCCCCCAGTTCCAAGTTTCCCAGGATAAACCATCCTGGTACTGTGGGGACTAAAGCAGGGTTTAGGAGCAGTGGGAGGTGCAGGTTTCCCCTGGGTAAAAGAGGGATAACAAAAGTAATGCCCTTTGGAGAGAGGTTCAGTGATGGGAGTGCTCAGGAGGGACTAGCTGGTAGAGGAGATGGAGAGAATCCCCATTTCAGTGGGGTTTTCCCTCTTCTTGGGGTAAGCTTGTTAAATCACCCCTCCCCAAGTAAAGCGGGAAAGCTGGGTTTATTTCTCTGGAGGGCTAGCTTAGGTCTAGAGCTCAGCTCTGATGTGGTGTCTCACAAGGTCTTGCTGTTTGCACTACTAATGAAAAAAAAAAGAAGGTTAAAGCAGGCTCTGTGCTGCTCGACTTTGCTTTTATTAAATGACATTTCTGGAGGCTTCTGCCAGGAACACTGCCTGTAGCCTTGTCCCTTTTTCCAGCATCCTGATCTTCTCAAAGAAAGATGCCCTGTCCAAAATACACCCCAAGTGTTGTGGGGCTGGTGGACAGACGTGGCAAACTGCTGCCCTAGAGGGAGAGGACACAGAGGTGATACCTACAGTGAGATGAGAGAGTGCCTCTGGGGCAGAGCAGGGTATGGAGGTTGTCCCAGGGGGAAAAACTGGTTTAAGAAGGTAGTCTGCTGAAGGCCACCATCCCAGCTGAACTGCTGTTGAGGTGTGAAGGAGCCTTCATGGTCTGAGACACACCAGATGTGCCCCATCATGGACAGGGGACAAGGCGGCTGTGAGGCAGAGGAGGATGTGCTTGGTGGTGTAACCTTCTCCATGCCCTTGTACAAGACCTCACCCAAGGTGGGTCCCCAGGGGACTTGCTGAACCACCAGTGATATGAAGCGATGAGCATTGGGTGAACATTTTGTAGTCACTGCTAATGGCCTTCCTGCAGCTTGGACCTTTGTCCCCCAACAGAGGTGTTTGCATGTCACTCACTGGTTGAGATCTAAAGGCCGAGCACCAAACGAATATCACACAAGCATCACACAGTGCAGTGTGGGGACCCGCTACAATCCAAACACGTACATGTTTATCAGTCCTGAGTAACAAAACCTCCACCAGCAGAGCGAAGTGTCTGGGTCTGGTCACGCGTCTGGCACACGACATTTGGACACATCTCTCTCCAACGCACCAAGCAGGACTCAAAGGCTCACAACTCCATTGCACCCTGAAGGCACTTTCCAGGGGACACCACCATAGACAGTTCATGAGTGCACGATGCCCAGGGATTAATCTGGGTGCCTGCTGGGCACCTGGAGACTTGGTTGGACTATGGAGCAATGAGGAGGGATGAAGAACACCCATCTGAAGCCACACTTAGCCCATGGTGCCTTTTGATTTTATTAGTCAAGGGAAGACTTTTTGTTCTGTTAATTTAGGAATAACCTGCCTTTCAGTGACCGGGATTTCTATAGGCTGTGTCTGTTTTCTTATGGGACACCAAGCCACTGTGGGAGGGATGCTGGAAGGTCTCAGCTCCAGATGGGGGAAAGGCAGTGACCACATCACCTCCGTGCAGCGCTCCCCAGCCTCTCTCAGCCAGCGGAGGGGAAATCCAGGTTACTTTTTCCTCTCTGGGTAAATTCCACTGTGACATTTGCACATTTACATTGACTTTCTGAGGGCAGGATGAGGTCACTGGAAAGTTTGATCCTTTAAAAAAAAAAAAAAAAAAAAAAAAAAAAAAAAAAAAGCCAAGACAACAACAAACAGAATGAGCTAGGGAAGACAAATGTCCTTAGTTGGGCAGCAGCCACAGCCTGGGCAGAGTCAGGGCAGTGTCCCCCAAGACACCTCAGAGGAAGGTGCCTGCTCAGACCCATGGTATCCCCATCAGTGCTCTTCACCATCAGAAAATCGCAGCCTTTCCCTGCCCTTGGGGACCCCCTGGCTCCCAGGCGGTGGCTTCTACATCAAGGAGGCTTCTGCTTAGGGCCATGACCCAAGCCCACCAGGATGTTGAACTGGAATTCCCGTTCAGTGCCAGCAACCCAAAACCAGGGGGGCTTTAGCTGCCTTCTTGGGATGTGGGATCAAAGCTGCACCACTGTGAAAATGGACCTTTTTCCTTTTATTTTTTTTTTTTTTAATTGGGAATCATCCAAGAAAATAGTCTGAAAAAAAATGGTTATTAGCTTATGTTTACTGTAAAGGCAGGATCTGATAAACAGAGCATACGGACAAGCATTACAAATATGTTATTAAGGAGATTCCAGAAGTGCCAACAGATCCCTGACAGTACATCTTTGTTTGCCAAAAAGGGCCATTTTTTCGAGAAAACAGCTCTCACTTTTGTATCTTCTAGCCAGCTCCAGTTCCAAGTCAAGTTTTACCTTGGTCATTCCTCAGGCAAAATCAAGTTTTGAGCACAGCAAGGTAAGGAATAATGCTGCCACGCTCTGGTGCAGAGCTGGAGGGTCATTTTTCCTCCTTCCAGCTTTGGAGGAATGAACGATTAAAAACTTCACCAGGACATTTCTCCTCCTTAAATCTCATAACTGCCTCCCTCCCATGGGAACACGAACTAAAGTTGGGTTTATGGGTGATTCCCAATGAGAGAAACAAGGATGCTGAGTCTGGCAGTCTGTGAACATACTGGGGCTGAGGGAAGCTGAATGGCTCACCTTTACCAGCATTTCATTCCCAAGTCTGTCCTTTAGAAGGAAAGAGGAGTTGCCTCCAAGCATGGCTGTACTTGGAAGAGACCCCAGACCATGGCAGCGGGGCAAAAGTGGCTTCCCCTGCTCGTGGTGGCATGGGGAGGCTCCAGACAGGTGGGAAACCAAAGCAGGAGTTTTAAGCAACCTGCCAGCCACTGCCCTTTCCAGATATTTTATTTTTCCAGATATTTCATCCCATCTACAGTGGTAAAGAGGCACCAGGACCACCTCACTCTTCATCCTCACCAGGCTGTCAAGAA